GATTCATGTCCCGGCTGCTCCTCTTCCCATCCAACTCCCTGATAATGGCCTGGGAGAGCAGTGGAGGATGGCCCAAGTGCTTGGGCCCCTGCACCCGCATGGGAGACCAGGATGAAGTTCCTGGCTTTGGTCTGGCCCAGCCCTGACCACTGCAGCCAGTTGGGGAGTGAAGCAGTGGATGGAAGAGCTCTGTCTCTGCCTCTCTGTCTGTAAATAAAATCTTTTGAAAAAATGCATTTATTTTTATTTGAAAGGCAGAGTGAGAGAGGGAGACACATGCACACACACACACATACAATCTTCCATCTTCCAGTTCACTCCCCAAATACCCGCAACAGCCAGGGCAGGGCCAGGCTGGAGCCAGGAGCCTAGAGCTCCATCAGGGTCTCCCACCTGGGTGGCAGGGGCCCAGCACTCGGGCCATCTCCACCCCCTCCTCAGGCAGCAGTAGCAGGGAGCGGCATCAGACGCAGAGCGGCCAGGACCTGAAGCAGGGCTTGGGTACGGATGCCAGCACGCGGCTTCCCACGCTCACAGCAACTCGGGGCTGGAAGCATTCACTTAAAACGTCAGTTTCACTTTCTTACCAACACAACATTGTTTGTAGCTTAATTAACATCCTGAGAAGGAAATCCAGTGCTAATTTTAAAATAAAATCAGCCCCAAGAAAGGAGTTTGCCACATAGCCCAGGGCGACAGATGGCTGGAAGTGAAGTGGGGGAGACGTGGCACAGAGCACCAGCAACTCGTACGAGGGAGAGAAGAAAACACGGTGAGCACGCGGCCTGCGTTCCCGAGCGTCTCCGCGGTCGGATCCTAGGATTCCTGGGCTAGGGCTCTCCGGCTCCCGAGCTGTGACCTGTGGGTCTGACCGCTCTGTGTTTCCACGCAGACTACAGCCCGGGACTCGGGCCCTGGCACGCCCTTCACTCTGAGCTGCTCTCTTGGGGGGCAGCCTGGCAGAGCCGTGGACAATGGGAGCATTGTGGGGCCTTAGGAGCTGGGGCCCAGGGGCAGAGGGAGGCGCGTGGGAAGCTGTGGCAGGAGTGGCAGCTGCTCCCCGCGCTCTCCCATCCCTGCTGGGCCAGAGGCACGCCCTGAGCATGCCAGGACAGCTCCGCGAGCCTGGGCCCCTGCCGGCTGCCGGGATGCGGCCTGGGTTCCCCGGAACCCCCGCCTGAGCACGGGAGGCTGCTCCAAGTCTCTCTGCCCCACATGCACATATGCAGAATTCTAGTATTTTCTGCCCCCAAATAAACACCTTTCAATTCTGTTTCCAAGAACGGTTTGAAGTACCCTCATACACCCACGCTGGAGAATCCTCCTGGGATTGGCAGGTGGGTTTCCTCCTTACCCCAGACCAACCAGCAGCCAGCGCCGCTCTGCGGGACCTAAGAGCCCTGGGCCTGCCACCAGGACGGCGCTGAGCCTGGGAACGGCAGGCTGGGTCATGGGGGAGGCCTCAGGTCAAGGCAGCCACCCTGGAAAGCACCCTCCCACGGCACAGCCCCTGCAGCGCTCTGACAGCAGAGACGGAGCCCAGAGGGAGGCGTGCGCCCAGCCCCCACCCACCTGACCACAGGCTGCTTGTTGGGGTCCCCACTGGCCAGACCCTCTCCCCAATTCTGGCTACCTCTGAAATGACCTCGAACTGCTCTTCCACGTCACACCCAGGCTTCCAATGTCACCTCTTCCCTGAAGACTGCCCTGACTGGCCCCACAGAATCCCACCCTTAGAGTGAGACAGGACTTCAGAGAGGAATTACCTCGTGCTACCCGAGGGAGGGCCCCTGGAGGGAGGACCAGGAGCCTTGTGGAGAACAGATACGTAAACAACCACAACAAACAGATGGAGAGATGGGCAAAGGGTACAGAGCTCCCAGAAGGAGGGGACGGACAGACGAATAGTTGGCGTGTATTTGGCAGACGTGCCCCTCCCCGTTGGGGAGACCCTGAATAACACAGCTGTCTCAACTTCACCGAGCCGCCACCACACTCCCGTGGACAGTGCCCTTATTACTAACGGGCACCACCTCCTGGATTCGTCACGGCCACTCGATGAGGCAGACACAGTCACATTACCCCCATTTACCAATGGGGCTCGGAGAGGTTACGCAGCCAGCTGAGAGCAACACAGCTGCCGACCGGTAGTCAGGACACAGCCTGGCTCTTTTATTTAAAAAAAATATATATTTATTTAATTGAAAGGCAGAATTAGAGGGGGAGATAGATCTTCCACCTGCTGGTTCACTCCCCAAATGGCTGAGGCGGAAGCCAGGAGCCTGCAACTCCATCTGGGTCTCCCCCATGGGTGGCAGGGATCCAAGCCCTTGGCCATCTGCTGCTGCTCTCCCACGCGCACTGGCAGGGAGCTGGATCAGAAGCAGAGGAGCTGGGAGTGGAACCGGCAGGCACTCCAGTATGGGCTATGTCACCTGTGTCACAAGCAGCCAGTTAATCCACTGTGCCACAACACTGGCCCCAGCCTGGCTCTTTCCGACTTCACAAAGGACCTTGTTCACCATAAAAGTGAGCACGGGTGCGTGGAGGCAGGCATCGTGCCACGCACCGCTGCACACCTGGAGCTCACTGAACTCCACTCCATTATCTTCCTAGGAACTGGCTGAGCCAAGAGCCCTCCCGGGATCCCCAGCGTCAGGGCCTGGAGGCCAGGACTGCAGTGAGGCCCACCCTGGCCAGGGAGCCCCAGAGGCCTCCAGCCAGGGCCTTCCCAGAGCTTCCCAGTCTCAACTGCAGCAAACACGGCTGGTCCAGCAGGCCTGAGGCCGCCATCCGCGTGCTATCCACGTCTTGTCTTGCTCCAGCAGGCCTGAGGCCGCCATCCGCGTGCTGTCTTCTCTGTAGGGGGAGGGTTCCTGCTGCTTCCTGGGAGGGGGCTCGGAGGCGGGAATGTGGCAGGAGAGGGGGGAGAGCACGGGATCTGACTTCAGGTCTGCACAGCTACCAGTGGAGGGCGGATAATGGGCGGGCACAGAGGCCTCCCCACTCCCCCAGGCCGGCAGAGCGGGACTTTCCCAAGGGCCCAGAGAGAGGAAGGGGCTGTCAAGACACCGGAAAAGGCCGTCTGTCGCTTTACCTGCCCCTCGTGCTGCCGCCCTTCCAGACAGAAACAGAAAGTGAGAGCTTTGCCCTCTGGGGGAACAGGCAGGGGCGGGTGCACCTGTCTCATCCGGTCTTCCGTGCTGGGGTTTAGGGGCCTCCCCCGGGTGGGGTGGGGGCAGGGAGGAAAGGCTGTCTGCATTTGACAGGCAGGAAGCAGAGGCCCAGGGGCAGCCTCAGGATTTGAAGCATAGAGCAGCAGAGGCGGCCCTGAGGGCAGGAGGGAGGCACCTGGAGCTCAGCCCAGAGGCCAGGCAGGAAGAAGGAAGTCAGGCTGGACAGGAATGTGGAGCCACAGGAACCAGGACAGGAGCTTCCCGGCCCCTCCTTCCGGAAAAATCTCAGGAAACTGTCTGTCAGGCCTTGGCCTTCCCACCGTCCCACATCCCCCACCCTCCTGTCTCCTCCCAATGCCCTCCCCAAGCCTGGAGGCCACTTCTAACCCCAGGAGGCAGCGCACAGGTCCTGAGCCCCACCCGGCAGGCTGGGGCAGGCTGGGCGGCCTGTGAGGGAGGGCCAGGCAGGCCCCGCTGGACCCTGAGGCCGGAGTGAGAGGACGCCCACGCCTCCCCTGCCCGCCCTGTTCCAGGAAGCACTCTCACTCACAAGGGTTCACCCAGTCCTCACCCCCTCATCCTTCACTCGGTCAACCAGATCCCTTCACTGTCAGGGCCACTGTGCCACAGCTCCTCTCTGCCCAGCTCCCGGCCTCCTGGCTCATTTTTAAATTATTAAAAAAAAAAATTGGCATCTACTTGAAGGACAGAACACGGAGCAGCCAGCCCTTCCATCCACTGATTCACTCAACAAATGGCCCCAACAGACAGGGCTGGGCCTGGCTGATCCAGGAGACAGGAATCCCACCCGGGTCTCCCAAGTGGGTGGCGGGGCCCTCACCCACTGTTCAGGTACCCTGACAGGCAGCTGGACTGGAAGCAGAGCTCTGGGACCCAGACAAGCATCTGATAATCGGAGCCAGCAGCGGCGCAGGCAGTGGCTGCTGGAATAGTCAATAATCCTTGATTGATCATTCTGCTGTGGCCTTTCCCCCTCTTTTGTTCATTTCAATCACCTGTGAGGGAGAATCCTGGCAACTGAGATCCCGGGCTGCCGCTCCACCTTCTAGAAGGGCAGGGCTGCAGCCCTAGGACTGCGGCTGGGACCACTGCCCCAGGCAGTCAGGAGCCACCAGGCCACAGGAGGCGGCAAGGAGACAGGTGAGGGCCTGCTGTGTGGAACCGCATTGGGCCGAGCCCACAAAGGCTGGTCAGTGTCCACTGAAGGCTCGGGCTCCAGCTGCTCACAGCCTGTCCAAACTGTCACGGCCGGGCCGGTGCTATGGTGTAGTAGGCTTGGGCCCCTGCACCCACGTGGGAGACCAGGAAGAAGCTCCCGGCTCCTGGCTTCAGATCAGCCCAGCTCTGGCCATTGTGGCTATGTGGGGAACGGACCAGCAGATGAAGATCTCTCTCTGCCTCTCAAATAAATTAAAACAACAAATTGTTACAGCCTGGGCACTTGCATTTGAATGTCCCTCCCACTGGAACCCACCTGCTCTAAACTGCTCCAGCCACTGGCCCCATCAGAGGGCGGCTTCACTAGGGCTCAGCCACAAAGAACACACCGGGCATCTCTCGCCTATGCAGCCTCCAAGTGCTCAACTGCCAAGTCCTCTCCTCTGTAGGCCCCGAATCGCTCTTGAACTCCGTTTCCCTCCACACCTGCTGCGGACACTGCGCGAGGCCCACAGCCTGCGTGGCCGCTCCAGCCCAATGCCCAGCCTCTCGTCGCACGCTGCTCCTTCCTGTGGCTCTGAACAACCAGCGGGGGACAGCCCCTGGGCGGAGTCTACAGACTGAGCCCAGCTCCACCACCAAGTAGCCGGGGTGTTCCACGCGTGGCCTCTGGCCTCTGTAATCCGACTGACTGCCCGTGTCACAGCTAATAATGGCCTTCATTCCTTAATCACACAGCGCGGCCACTAAGAACCTAGCGTGATTCAATCCACAGAACAATCCCAAGGCAGACACAACCCTGATTTTACAGAACAAGGTGAGGAGCTGGGAACTGAGTAATCGACCCACAGCTGCACAGCTGGCAGTGGCAGGCAGCCCCCCAGCCCGGTCCGGAAGATCAAGTTCACGTCCACATTCTCTGTCTTCTCTTGCAGGTGCAGAAGCTTCCGGCAGCTGCCACCACCCAGACAGCTCCATTCCTGGATGACAAAACCCTTGCACTTGTTCTGCTCTGGGCAAGATGGACTAAAAACCCTGCAAGTTGGCCGCAGCTGCTGACCGCTCCGCATTCCTCGAGCCGTGCCAGGCGCAGTTCAGCGGTGCCTGCCCCCCGCCCCCCTCCCCAGGGCTGCTGGCTCCCAGCACTGCCACTGCACTGGGGGATGGCCCCGAGCCAGGCGTTCACACACTGGTCTGCGTGGCCCTGGCTCCTGAAATGTCCTGTCCACCAGCAAGGAGAAAGGAGACCTTGACATGAACTCTGCTGTTGAATTCGAAGTTACATCGGGTGGCTGCTCATGTGGGATCTGAATTCGAGTTTGAACCCTTGTTGCCAATACCAGGATCAGGGGTAGGTAAACACATGCTCTCTACAGGAATCAACCCACGGCCCCTGCCCCCCAGCCAGGAAACCAGGTGGTGGACAGGCTGTGGGGGGCGGGGAGCCCTGGCTGGCACTGCCAGGCATCAGATCCTGACCCTGCCACTGCTGGCTCCAAGCAGCCGACCGGGGAAGGAGTGCTTGGCAAGCCGCCGGGAACTTGCCCAATGTTTGTACTTGTTACACATTAATGTACTAGCTGCTTTTGCTTTTCTCCCCTGGGACGTGGGGCTGAGCGGCGTGACGGTGTCCCTGAGACAGGACAGCTTGGGGTTCAAATGCTACCTCCACCTTCCGCTGGGGAACTCGGACAAGTTCTCTCGCCTGTCTCCCCACCTCACTCAGACTCAAGGCAGTGCCGGACAAGGCCCTGCCTGCCCCCCACCCCACCCCCCAGCCGCAGGGGCATTCCTGCTACACTCCCTCAGCGCCCTCAGAGCCTGCGCTTGGTCTCCTGCGCCTGGAAGCTCCAGCCCCAGAACTGCCTTCCTGCCCCTCCAGGTCACTGTGCCTCACTCTCACAATTCTGTTCAGACACTGACTCCTCGCCTCGGTCTTCCTCCACGGCACACACAGCCTGCAGCACGGTACGTACCGTTCACACCCGCTGGGTTAGAGGTTTATCTGGAAGGCGGTTACCCACGAGAGGGGCCACTCATCAGAACCCAAGTCCCATGAGGACAGGGAAGTTTCTTTCCACTTCCACTTCCTCCTTGCCTAGCAGTGCCTGGCTGGTTCACATAAGGGCCCAGCCTTCAGTGCCTTAAGTCCTACAACACGCCTGACACAGAGGGCATGGAGTTAAATTCCTAGGGCTCCCGAAACAAAGGATCACCAACCTGGAGGACTAGAACACAAGAGCTTTATTCTGAAAGCCACGTCAAGGTGTCAGCACTTGGGGAGGGTCCTCCATTGCCTTGTCCAGCTTCCGGTGGCTCCATGAATCCCCTAGCTCAGGGCCACGTGACGCACATGTCTGCCCGTGTTCCCGGGGCCTGTCCCCTGCCCACAGCAATCAGGACACTGGTCCCTGGGTTTGCTGTCACCTGGAGGTCTGTGGCCTGCACCCACAGAGACCTCTACTCAAGTCAGCTCACATCGGCGAGTTCCAGGCATCATGAGTGAACTGTCTTCCTGGAACCACCACTCAGCCGAGACAGCACAGGAAAGCAATTATCAAACCAGCAGGGAAACAGAAGGGGCAGAAAAAGCTCACGAGCCCTACGTGCCGGGGAAGAGTAAACGACTGAGCTCTGTCACGGGTAGGCCCCGCCCTGGGCACGGGGCTCACCCCAGTGAGCACACCAGGTCACATGGTGAGTGGCTGGCAAGCAGGGGTCTCCACTAGGGGTGAGAGGTGCAGCACTAACGCCCAGGGCAGCAGGGAAGCCGATCAGCCCAGCTCCAGCCAGCGTCTACCACGTTCTGCCCTCGGTAGGCCCCCAGAGCCCGGCTCTGCCTGGCAGCAGGTGCTAACCTGGGCAGGGCAGTGATGCAGAGCGAACGACTGTTTTCCTGTAACTATCACCCAGGGTCCGCCCCATCAACGAAACGGAGAATCTCCACTGAAGCCGCGCTGCAAGGCTCACGCCAGGCACACGGATGCCTCCTCAGACAGCCCGCGGCAGCAGGACAAGCCGAGACTTCTTCCCAGCGCTGCCCTAACCTGGGCAAACCACACACACCACAGGGCTCACAGCGTCCTGAGGCCTGAAGACGACACCCAGAGTGCAGACTGCACAGTCTCCATCAACTCCAGGGGTCAGGGAGTCTGATTTAAACACTGATAATGGGGTTGTGGGGGGCACAACGCTGTGGCTCAGCTTGTTAATGCCCCAGCCTGCAGCTGGCGCCAGTTCGAGTCCTGGCTGCTCCAATTCCAATCCAGCTCCCTGCTAATGCACCTGGGAAAGCAGTGGAGAATGACCCAAGTGCTTGGGCCCCTGCACCCACATGGGACCTCGCTCCCAGCTCAGATTGGCATTGTCGCCTTTTGGGGAGTGAACCAGTGGAAGGAAGACACCCCCCCCCCCCCGTTTCCACCTCTCTGTGTAACACTGTCTTTCAAATAAATAAAATAAATCTTAAAAAAAAAAAAAAAAAAAAAAAAAAAAAAAAAAAAAACACTGATAATAGGGGCCAGCACTGTGGTACAGTGGGTTCAGTTGCCACCTGTGAGGCCGGCGTCCCATATGGGTGCCAATTCTTGTCCCGGCTGCCCCACTTCCGATCCGGCTCCCTGCTACTGCACCTGGGAAAGCAGTGGAAAACGGCCTGAATGACTGGGCCCCTGCACCCACATGTGAGACTCGGATGAAGCTCCTGGCTTCGGCCTGGCCCAGCCCTGGCCATTGTGGCCATGTGGGGAGGGAATCAGTGGGCGGATGGAAGATCTCCATCTAATAAATAAAATAAACAAACACTGAGAACGGATGCATCAAGACCGAGGGCAATGACGAGCTGCAGCCCCAAGCCGGAACCTGCCCCCCAGTGACGAGCTGACAACGTGGCTCCACAGATCCTTTACTGAGATACTTAGAACATCCCAGTCCTTAATTCAAACACCTCACCAGCCGAGGGGCTGAGGACTGTCCAGGCAAAGGCTTCGCGGTGGCAGCAGCACTTCCTGTCTAGAAGGACATCCAAACAGGTCCCTGACTCCTGTGACTGCGCATGTCCTCAGGGTCTCTGCCCCATCTTCTTCAGGGTTCGATTAAGCTAGAAGAGAAAAGAGACACAGCTGCATACACGGCTTTTCCCAGCCTCCCCCTACAGAGTGCATCACCAGGAGGGACTCAAGCGGCCCGGAGGCCAGGGAAGGAGTGCAGGCGCTGGTGCAGAGCCACCCCCGCGGCTCGTGCAGTCCTTGTTGTGCCTCTGCATGACGCTCCCGCACACTACACTGTGCTTCCATCCCACGGACAGCAGCGGGCTGCAGAGTGGCTGGGCTCGCCAAGGCTGGCAGTCCACTCGGAACAAGCAGCAGCTTCGGCTCTCCCGCCACGAGGACCAGGGTCCTTGGGGGGAAGCAGCCCCAGCCCGGGGCGGGTGGACACTGGGACTGTGCGGCTGCTGCAGGCGGAGCCTGACCCCTGCTGGAGCTCCAGAGCGGCTCCCACAGTGACCACAGAAGGAGCCCACAAGACTCAGCCAGGGCACGACGTGCATGGCGCCAAGTCTGTCTAAACAACCTGCAGGAACCGGCCAGACCTGTCCAAGCTGCAGAACAACGCCAAAAGGGGAGCGATGGAGAGCAGGCAGAGAACCCACCCATATTAGGAAATGGCAGAGAAGGGAAGGCGAGCTGGCCGCCGCGGGAGGGCCTGGAAGGAGACGCTCCGAGAAGGCTGACGCAGCAACCCGCTCCGACCCCAGCAGCCAGCCACTCGAGCCCAGGGGCTCAAAGGGCCAATTTCAGGCTTTTTTGAAAACAGAAATAGGATACAAAAAATTTAAAAACTCCTCCTTCTGTCCCTAGTAACAGAACATTCCCTAAAACCTCTTACCTCTTCGAATTTGTGGATCTGACGGATGAAGAAATCTCCATAGCGCCTGGCGACCTTGGTGTCTGCGATGTGGATCATGTCCTGCGAGGGAACGCGCAGTCAGGGCACCAGGAAGGGGAGGCCACCAACAAAGATGCTCAGTGCTGGGCAAACCCCTCCTGCCTCCCAGGGCCAAAGGCGGAGGCGCGGCTGGGGAGCCGCCCGCGAGAGCATCACCAGCCCGTGAGGAGCGAGGAAACGTGCTTACTTAAGGTACTACGTGACGCATTACTGACGTGCCCTGAATATAACTCAGAACAGAGCCACACGGCTGATTCTCAGAAGTGTTTCATCAAACCTTAGTTGGGACTAGTGAGGCTGGGCCACTAAGGGGTGACAGGTCACTGATCCTGACAAAGCGGAAATGATGGTGGGGCTGACACTGCAGGGAAGGGTAGCTCTCTGGGACTTCTAAATGCAGGATTTAAAACACGGAAAATTGTCCACTAGTGGCATGTGTTTACTTTTGCCAAGTCTGTTCATGTCAGGCACAGCTAAATTCTGCCAAACACACCATTTTCCAAAAGTCGAAAACACCTTTAGTAGAGTGTTCAAAGATGAGCTTTCAAAAACAAACTACCCAGCAAATCCACAAGATCTATACCAGACAACTACAAACACGGCTCCCGCAAACCCTGCACTGCAACACTCACAGCGGCCTTACTCCTCACAGCCAAAGAGCGGAAACAACTCCAGAGTCCAGCAGCCAAGGACGCAAGGACAGAACACGGCCTGCTCAGCCACACGAGGCACGTTACTGACCGTAACAAGGAATGCGGTGCTGGTACACGCGACAGCACGCGCGCACCTGCAAACATGCCTGCGAGAGGCCCAGCACAAAGGGCCGCATGCTGTGAGGCACTGAAATGTCAAGGGAAGAGCCAGAGGCAGGGAGTAGGCCAGTGGTTTGCTGGCAGTGGGGCGGGCAATCAGGAGGGACTACAGGGAAGGGAGTTTTTTATGGGATGCAATGTCCTAGAATCATAGTGGGATGGTTACAACTGTCAAATTTAAAGTGGTGCGAAGCAGTTTAAGCCATCTCCTTGGCTGCTCTCCATGTAATCCAGCTCCCTGCTAATGTGCCAGGGAAAGCAGTAGATGGCTTAAGTCCTTAGGTACCTGCCACCCACATGGAGACCCAGACGGAGTTCCTGGCTCCCAGCATTTATAGCATGTATATGTATGTTGAATTACATTATTTTTGAAAAAGATTTATTTGAGAGGCTGACATTATGGACTGGATGATTAAGCCACCACCTGCTCCACTTCCGAGCCAGGTCCCTGCTAATGCGCCTGGGAAAGCAGCAGAGGACGGCTCAAGCACCCGGGCCCCTGCACCCACGTGGGAGACTGGGATGAAGCTCCCAGCTCCTGCCTGGACAGGGCAGTGAACCAGTGGATGAGGGATCTCTTCCCCAACTCTCTGACTTTCAAATAAAGAAATTGTTTTAAAAAAAGTTTTTTTTTTATTTGAAAGGCAGACTTACAGAGAGGCAGAGGCAGAAAGAGAGGTCTTCTATCCACTGGTTCACTCCTCAAATGGCTGCAATGGCCGGAGCTGGGCCAATTCGAAGCCAGGAGCCCAAAGTTTCTTCTGGGTCTCCCATTGGGATGCTGGCACCAAAGGCTTTACCTGCGATGCCACAGCATGGGCCCCAAATTAATCCTTTATTATTATTATTATTTTTAAGAATCATTCATTTGAAACACACAGCAATAGAGAGGGAACGACAGAGAAATCTTCTACCTGTTGATCCATTCCCCAAATGCTAACAGCAACCGAGGCTGAGCCAGGTCTCCCACACGGTTGTCAGGGCCCAAGCATTCGGGTTATTATCCACTGCCTTACCAGCTGGCACTTGAACTGGCATTAGAACATGGAATGCTAGCATCACAGGTGGTGACAGCCTCACCACTGGACCACAATGCTGGCTTCTACAAACTGCTTTTGTTTTCGTTTTTTTTTGCCAGGCAGAGTTAGTGAGAGAGAGAGAGTTACAGACAATGAGAGAGAGACAGAAAGGTCTTTCTTCCATTGGTTCACTCCCCAAATGGCCACTAAGGCTGGCGCTATGCCGATCTGAAGGCAGGAGCCAGGTGCTTCTCCTGGTCTCCATGGGGTGCAGGGCCCAAGTACTTGGGCCATCCTCCACTGCACTCCCGGGCCACAGCAGAGAGCTGGCCTGGAAGAGGAGCAACCGGGACAGAATCCGGCGCCCCGACCGGGACTAGAACCTGGGGTGCCGGCGTCGCAGGCAGAGGATTAGCCAAGTGAGCCATGGTGCCGGCCTACAAATTACTTTTTAAACTGCATTTTTAAAACAACTGCCCAAAAAGTGCTATTTTCCATTCTTGTAGCATGTTTAGACTAGCAAGCATTCTGAAAACAAAAAAAAATGAAGGATACAATTTAAAAGATTTATTCAGTTATACTTGAAAAAGAGAGAGAGAGAGAGGTCTTGCATTCACTGGTTCACTCCACAGATGGTCCCACCAGTTACAGCTGGGCTGGTCTGCAGCCAGAGCTTCTCCGGGGTCTCCCACACGGTGCAGGGCCCAGGACCGGGCCCTCTTTCGCTGCTTTCCCAGGCGCTCTAGCGGAGCTGGATCAGAAGCGAAGCAGCTGGGACACAAACCAGTGCCATTGGGGTGACAGCGCCGCACGTAACGGCTTGACCTGCAGTGCCACAGCGCTCGCCCAGGACACCAACATGTCTATTGTTAGATTTATTTGAAAGACAGAGAAGGTGGAAGAGAGACGTAGAGCTCTTCTATTCAGTGGCTCATGTCCCCAAAGCCTGAAATGGGCGAGCCAAATCCGGAAGCCAGGAACCCCATCTGGGTGTCCCACACAGTGGCAGGGAACCAAACACCCTCCCAGGCACCCGAGGAAGGAATCAGATGGGAAGCGGAGATGCCGGAACTTCAACTGGAACTCTAATTTGAGATGTGGGTATCCCAAGCAATTCGCTTAAACTCACTGAGCCACAATGCCCACACCAGGATACATTAATTTTTAAAATCTCCTCATAGTTGGGGAGGGCACTGGGGTGCCAGTTCAAGTCCCGGCTGCTCCTCTTCTGATCTAGCTCTTTGCTATGGCCTGGGAAAGCAGTGAAGATGGCCCAAGTCCTTGGACCCCTGCACCCTCGTGGGAGACCTGGAAGAAGCTTCTGGATTCGGATCGGCACAGCTCTGGCTGTTGCAGCCAACTGAGGGGTGAACCAGCGGATGGAAGACCTCTCTCTCTGCCTCTCTTCTTTAACTCTGACTTTCAAATAAAAAAAAATCTTATAGCATTAAAGAAGATCAAATAGTTATTGAAGGGAAAACAAATCATTCTAAGAAAGCACATTTGGGGAGTGAACCACTGAATGAAAGATATCGCCCTCTACCTTTCAAATAAATAATAAAACAATGGACCACGGATAGCACTGGCACTGATTCTTGAAGATTTACTGCTGACTAACAGCAGTCACACAAAATGAGAGCAAACAATTCCAACATAGGCAGTTCAAACACAGGGGGCCAACAGGTTAAGCCACCGCCTACAGTGCTGGCATCCCACATGGGTGCAGTTCGAGTCCCGGCTACTTCTATCCTCCTGCTAATGCACCTGGGAAAGCAGTGGAACAGCCCAAGTGCTTGGAGCCCTGCACCCACGTGGGAGACCCGGATGAAGCTGCTAGCTCCTGGCTTCAGCTTGGCCCGGCCCTGGCTGCTGTGGTCCTCAGGGAGTGAACCAGCGG